GAGGAGCAGCAGGAGGAGGAGGAGGAGCAGGAGGAGCAGGAGGAGGAGCAGCAGGAGCAGGAGCAGGAGCAGGAGCAGGAGGAGCAGGAGGAGCAGGAGCAGGAGCAGCAGGAGCAGGGGCAGGAGGGGATCCAAGGCCAAGGTCAGCAGCTCCTGGCCAAGGAAGCCGCCGCGGGCAGGAGCCCCTGGGCAGGAGCAGCCATTGCCAAGGGGCCAGAGAAGGGTGCTGGAAGGGAGGGCTCTTTAAGACCAGCAACCTGAGCCCCACAGCCTCCCCTCTCATCCCCCCTCACCCCTTCCCCACGAGTGTGGGCCCCAGGCCACTGCCTCCCAATCACATCTCACACCCGACACCAATCCTTCAGCTCACGGGGGCAGAGGCTGGACTTAAAGAACACAGGGATCTATTTTTTTTTTAAGTTTTATTTTAAATATATCTGTATTGATTTCAGAGAGAAGAGTGGCGGGGGGTATAGAAAAATCAATGATGAGAGAGAATCATGGATCAGCGGCCTCCTGCACGCCCCCCACTGGAGATGGAGCCCACAACCTGGGCCTGTGCCCTGACCGGGAATCGAACCCTGACCTCCTGGTTCCTAGGTCGATGCTCAGCCCCTGAGCCCGCCAGCCAGGTAAGGTATCTTTTTTCTTTTTCAAATCCTCGCCCGAGGATATGTTTCCATTGCTTTTTAGAGAGAGTGGGAGAGAGAGGGAAAGGCAGAGAGAAATATCGATGTGAGAGAAGCACAGATTGGAGGCCCAACAGGGCCCAGCCGGGGAGGGGGAGCCTGCAACCAAGGTACCTGCCCTTGACCAGAATCGAACTCGGGACCCTTTGGTCCACAGGCCAACGCTCTATCCACTGAGCAACACCAGCCGGGCCAAGTATCTTCTTTTTTTCAACGAAACACCCTTCCCTCCCTTTCCTTCCTCTCCCTTCGCGCAGTCAGAGCCCACAAACACTGGAAGTGCCTTCCAATTCCGCTTGTTTTGCTGGGGGCTCAGAACGGCCAGGGCCCCTCCCTCCCCTGGGCAGAGCGTCCCCCTCCCTCCCCTGCTGTCCCTCGGGAAGAAACTTTGTCGCAGCTGAGATGGGATCGGCAGCCTTGGCGCAGGCTGAGCCGGGATGCGCTGGGCTGAAGGCCGCCTCCCACGGGTGCTCTGAAGCGTCCCTCTGTCCAACACCCTCTGAGTGCGCGCCCAAGGGCCCCCTCGCCACCAGGACGGGAAGCAAGTCTCCCGGCAGCCTCTGGTGGGACCTCCTCCCCCGACAGCGACAGCGTGCCAAGACTAGAAGGCCCTCGCTCAGCACCGCAGGCCCGTCCCCACCGCCGCCTTCATGAAGTCCTTAATGAGCCGGGGACAGGCAG